CAAACCGAGATATGACCTGGTGATTGAAGTGATCTGGGCACACCCACGGCCTAGACCCCTACGGACCTACCACTGCGAAAGGTGTGTTGGACAGCGAAAATGAAGGGATTCTGCTGGAGGATCTGCATCAGCGCTGTCTTACTGGGTTACTCGATGATTTAGCAACAAGTGGAAGTCTTATTTATTTAGTCAGCCAATATGATGCGCAAATTCGCCTAAGATTTCGGCGTTAAAGCCGTCTTCCCGCGACGAACACATCCCGATTACCTATTCATTTGTGCCCAGTATTATTCTTAGCATCACACGGTACGTATGACGTACAGTGATAAGCCAAAGGTTTTTACAGATAGAAAAATCGGCTTCATTGTTATTGATTTTAATCTTATTATTTTACAGAATTTGTCAGGATACTACCTTCTCCACTGCCCAACCTCTTGACTAACCCTTCATCCGGTGTAATTGGCAAAGAATTGGGAACGGTCGGGAAGAATACGAAGAGAAAAAAGAAGAAGAAGAATAAGAAGGGAAAGAAAATGAAGGAACTAAAGCCTGCCGCCACCCTTTCTACGGGATCAGGTACCGTCGCAGTCTCTCTTCGTGTTCTAAATACCATATTTAATGCAGTCCCCAAACACAAAGGTTACGTGGGAAAGCCCGAAAAATTTCAAATTTCCTTGACCGCATCTCCGATTTACTTTTTTGCGTGTGCTTGTCACTGTTTACGGTAATCCTAAGCCGTACTGCGTGAAATTCACAGCTGGACATGAAATGTTGGTTTTTTATCCTCCCGAGTCCGAATATATTTGGTCGTATGATTTTTAATGGAGAAGGCTGGTCGAGCACTGGATCAGTTTGTCTATTGTAGCAGATAAGCGTACACCGATCAGTTACAGGACACACCCGTCCTGGTTGATGCCCTAGGAGCCCACACACATGTGAGCCTATGCCGCAAGGCGGCTAATGTTGTAGTGTAACTTACTATGTTTCAGTAAAATTCATTTTATTTTAGGACATTACCAACAAAAACAGAGGACCACTAGGATGGCCATTCCTGTGTATTATTCTGAGCTTTCAAACTCGTACAGAATCTAATTGTGGTGTAGTACTGTCGGATTTCGTTATGACTGACTGATGAGGGCCAATAAGCCAGAATTGGTCATTCCAGTCTTCCTTGTGTGTGCTGGCAGTGTTAATTTGCCTACACCACTATCCGCTGTGCGGTTGCTGGCGGGATTCAGGAATGAGCCCCAAGGCAGAGCGGGACGATTGTGTTCTGTAAGCGATTGGTGAACGTAATCAACGAGTTTCTGTTAACCTGACGTTGTTATTGAATATAAGGGCACATTTCTGCCCCCTCCCTTCCATACACAGGACTGTTCAATCTAACCTTTCGAGTAAGCTCTTTTTACAGCATACAAATTGTACCTTCTGTGCACTCTGGTCTACCCTTTTTGCGTGTGGTATTTTATTTCCCTTGGATTGTTATTATACAGACCAGCCGAACCCAGACGAAATCGGTAAGACCACTTTCGCAGCGGACTCGTGGTTGCCACGCCCCCTCGTCGCCAGTCGCGATCCAATCGGCGAGGAGGGCACCTTCATCGCCTCCTGTCCACACGTGATGCATGTTGCCTGCAAGGAGAAGGCCCGTTCATCTAGCATGTTAGTTGCACCGTTCTTAATACGTTATTTGTCAGTTTTCACCCCTTATTTGGCTTGCAACTCAATTTTGGCTTCCTTTTTATGTGTTCCAGGCCAGGTGCTACGTTTAAGTGTCCCGTCTGTCATGCCCTCTCAAACGTCGATCTTCCCCTCTTCGGCCACGTCACAGATGGTCTCAGTCCAGTCTGGTTGTCTCACCAGTTGGGAGTCGGTCAGAGCAGCTACGATCTGACGGCCTGGTTGAGGCGACTTCAGGATTGGCTGGATGATCGATCGCGGTTGGCGCCTTCTGGCAGTGGAACTGATCGGCAGGTATGCTAGTTTCCTGGTGGTAGTAGGCTCGGTGTAATGACAGCAATTACGAGCGGTGCGTGTTACTTCTGCATAACTGTTTATCAGAAATGCTGGCACATGCTAAGCTGTCGTTCGGCAGTCCTACTGAAAGGCGGTGACTTGGCAGTTTCCGCCTACTGTTCACCGTATGTTCAGAAAAATAAGTAAGTAGCGTTCAGTTTATGCTCACGCGTTGTTCCTTGGGCATGCCCGAGAAGATGGAGAGGGCGTCGAATTGACGCAAAAATTAATGAAACAGTAATCGTTGTTCTCAGGTTAAAAAAGAAACCTGTTTTATGAAAAATAGTAAGGTGATGCTTGACTACTGAATTTTTGGCGAACACCGATCTGCTTTACAGTTTTACAACAAAGAAGAAAGCGGAGATAACCTTGTGTGTGTATTCGATGAATATTGATGGCGAAGAAAAGAGAAGAGGAACAAGGAGCTGACCCCTCTAGATGCCCTCGTTTGGCGCAAAAATTGTAGTGACCTAAAACCCAAACCCTGTTGGAGACCAACAAATATGACACAAGCACTGAAGCTCAACGGCAACTACTCAATCAATCGCACATGAAGTTACATAAGCGCCCTTTACCAGAGCGCTGGGATAAATTTAAGTGAAACGGAAGACAAGGTTTCTGGTCTACTATATCTTTGACGAATACCGATGACAAATGGCTACTCGCATAACTTCGTCAGCCAGTGCAAGCGCAAATTATATGTGAGAGCATATGCGACCGGTCATAAATGTTGGCGAGCTCTGCGCTACGCGAAGAACGTCTCGGTAGCCGTCAGCTCCCTTCCTAATTCACTTAGGGTTACAGTTGCATAAAAGCCGTTGGCAGCCATCAGGTGCCCGTTAATGGGGTCAAAAGACCCATTGCCTCGCCAGGAAACGGCCGGAGTCGTTTACCGGATCTGATGAAGTTGAGTACAAAGCAACTACGTCGCAGAAGACGGACGATTACTAGGGACCTGACGGGATCCGGCCATATTTACAAGTTTCATTAAGCCAGTATCATCGAAAAACGTGACAATCGCCTTAGCCGCGATCCGCTTGAGTTACTCTTGCCAGGTCCACGGTCCATAAACAGGCGCAACGACTCCCCGCTCCCACTTCATATCCCCAGACTTTGTCTGAGCAGGGGGAAATCACTCACCTTAGAGTTGAAGGGCAAGTACCGATCAGCATTTCCAGTGACAGCGAACAAAATTGCCACGTACTGGTCACGCGAATATCCAAAACGGGTGACTAAATGCTGACATTAACGCCGCATATGGTCGTACTGTCCCTAATGAACTATAGATAGTGTATCCCACTAACCTTATCTGCGACTGTCTCCGATTATGGACTGTATAGAGAATCGGATACTTATGGCTTATAATCACTTTCTTCTGGCGATCACATCATTTTCTTATCAGGACATTTTTCCTCTTCTTTTTTGTCTGGCAGTCTAAGGATTTGCCAAACTCGCTAAAAGAACTCTTCAATCTTGTTGATCTGGTCAAGTCAAGCAAAGGTGGGCAGCTGTGCGCAAAGAGTGGTGCCGGCGAACCAGTGAACCTATACATTGGGCGACTCTCTCAACTGCAGACCTGCCTCTTTGAGGTCTTCCGGACCTGCAACCAAGCCCGCATAAGGCCCCAGATGCAGAGATCAAATCAGATCACCTCCTCACTATGGTGTCTTGTTCATTGTCTAGCTGTGTATCCATATCGGATCTTGAATTATGTATGGAACAACTTAATACGCAGTATACACAACTGTTTCGACCAAGTTTGCGTCTTTCTTCTTGAAATCATCCCCCCTGACCGACTCCCCCAACTACGGGCCTGCCTCACTGAGGTCAGACGAGCTATCACAGGGCACGAGACGCTGAATATACTGCCTGCTGAGGTACAACCGGAACAAAGATCGATAAAGATGGCCTCCTCACTACGATATTTTGTCGAACGTCTGGCTGCGCTTAGTCAAGCCTACCACCCGAAGCCACCAACGCCATACTCATTTTTAAATAGTAAGTTTGCCGTTTTCTTCTGTGTTGCACTTCTGCCAATTAAACCGCGATTATTGGATCAGTCATGGTTGATCAACCAACCATACATAGGCCTGGAAATCATTTCATCTAATTTACTATTCTGACTAATATATATTGCCCTTATGGCCTAGTCTAATCCTTACGTTTTCTTCCATGCCCTGTGCATATGCCAAAAGTTCTCCCTGACTCATTCTAACAGTCCTCCTTACTGTCTTCCCTCGCCCAGTGTTTTACAACTACCCTGTGCAGACCGATATAAATCAATTGTTGAATCAGG